GAAAATTCAATTAACAATTCAAATTTTATGTATTGAATTTCCGATTCCCAAACAATTGTAAAACGATTAATGTTTTACGTAATTAATGATCGATTATTGTACTGTTCGAACTAGTATACTAGTGTCGGGCTTGCAAATACTTATTTGGGCCTTGTTAATGAATAAAAGAGCCCAACATTATCTTAATAGTGATACATAACCTTTCAAGACAAATTGAGGAAGGTTGGGCAGCCCAAACATTTTTCAAACATTTTTTAAGCCCAACCTGCTAAAAATACTAAGTATTCGAGAATGGCGTCCTAGACCCACTCGGGGGTGACCCACACGGATATTAGTCCAATAATATGAATGAAAAATGTCAAAATAAGTGATAGAATGATTAGAGAAGAATACAAATGCCTATGGTCCCATCTTGACATTATTGAGCTAAATAATGGGAGTAAGATTTCTCCTTCTATATATCCATCATGTCAATTATTGAGATGAGCCCACACATATTGGAGATCAATAATGTGATGTGGGAAGTTGAATTGTTCTAAATAAATTAGGATGAGTACAAAAAGACATCTTTTAGCAAAAGATAAAACAATAGGACCCATTCTCCCATTTTTAAAGCATTGGTAGATATTTTGGACCCCAAAATGATTGAGATCAATTGGGAACCACTCCATATGATATTAGTACCTGCAAGACAAATAAAAACGGGTGAGAAAACTTACCTTGGCCGGCCAGCATGGAGAGGAGCTGCACAAGACTTGATAGGAATCAAATTTTGGGGCCACCATCTCTATTTTCGCACAAATTGGTGTGCTGTTTGTCTCCCTTCATTATGGGAGTTGTACTCAACCAAATAACGTGATTGAGGTGTCCTTGGATAGCCGTTGAAGTCTAGTTTCATATTTGAGTGGTCTCTGTGCGAGAGGGGAGAGTTTATCATACAAAAATCGAGCTGGAGTGAACTGCTGTCTGTAAACTCGAGCAGTGAGAGTGCTGAAACTGTTTGGTTTATATCTCAAGTTATACCAATCCAAATAAGGCGTGAAAGATACCAAAGGAAATCTCTCAAAACGAGGAATCTGTGAAGGTATGGTTTGCATCAATCGGGGCAGTGGAAGGCTTCCAAATCGTCCGAGAAAAACACAACCTCGCAGAAACGGATTTACTCTCCTAAAGTGAGTGTTAACCCCAAAACTTCACTTTTCATTTTCCAAATGATATGAACGATTGGTGGAAATATTATACACTACTCCAAGTGTATAATATGTCCTTGTAAAGTTATTTTATATGTCTAAAGGTTAGATACTAACCTAGAGCAAATCTTGGAAAACTAGGAAACGAGTTATCCGGAAAACACCCATTCTAGGGGCTGTTTTCGTATCAACGATTAGGGGTTGAACTAGCACTTTGAGGAGACTACTTAACACTCATTTCCGAGCAAGGAATCAGTTCTCAAACCTTCTTGGCCGAGGCTTTGGTCGTTGGATCGAGGGGGAAGGTTTTAAAGCTCATTTGAGGTGAGGACCGACATCTAGTTGCTTACAACTTGTAGGTTATGCATGAGATTACCTAAATGCTTAAATCATGTTTTTGTGAATAAAGAGGCTTGAACATGATATGAATGATAAGTAATGGACTTGATCATGAATTGAAAACATATTGATGCATATGGAGTCATATGAGATAGAAGTATGCTAATATGGTATATTGACCTTTCCAACTCATGTATGAATGTTATGTGTATGTAAATGTATAATTGCATGATGATGCTTAGCACATGGGAGGCTGCCACATATCTATTGATATGGAGGGGCTACCATTAAGAATAAATGAGTTGTAGGAATAATCTTAATAGTATTGTGATGCTAGTTAAGGATTGTTCTAAATGTCGATAGAATCAAACTTAAGGTTTGAGTTTGTTTGTGATGAACTTGAATAAGATTCAAGTGTCAATTGTGAATTCATGGAGTAGGAGATCTATGGTGTGATTGTATGAAGTAGGAGATCTATGGTGTGATTGTAACACCGTCCCCGAATGTATTTACTTTTACGTAAATGATGTAATAAATTAAACCTTATGGAATGATTTATGAATTTACGAAGTTGTAAATTTTTATTTTTACTCTTTCGCGTGAATAGTAAATTGCACGTGGGACCCACACCGGGGGCGGGGGCCGCCCGACTTTCCCGAGACCATATATTTTATTCATCGTGGTCTATATAATAAATATATAGTGATGGATATTTCATTTGGGCCATGGAAAGGCCCGGAGTTGACCGTTTGGTCAAAAGAAGCCCAAATTACCGGTACTGGTAATTTAACTGATAACAGCCCGAACTGAATTTCGGGGGCTTATAAATTAAAGTTGGGGAATGTATATTCATTATACATGTCATAATGAGTAAGAGCACATAATATATTTTATTTGACCCGATAAAATAAAATATATTTAAAACAGTCCGAAAAATACAACTTTCGGGACCGATTGTACACATCGGGACACAAAGGGATGACCTCCCACATGAGTGGGGGCCACCCCACGTTTTTATGTGCTAAACACATCAATTGAGAGCTGGGTTGACAAGAGGAAATGAGGAGGAGATGCATTTGGCATCAAAAGTACAATGGGGAGGACCCATTCCCACATTATTTTGAGAGAAAAGCCAAAGAGGCTATCTCCTCACTCACCCACCCCATATTTTCGGCCAAACCATCAAAGGAGGAGGAAGAGGAAGCTCTCAAGCTACTCTCCATTGCTGCAACTCGAGCTCAACCAAAAGTAGTCCAAGGAGTGGGATTAAAGAAGGAAAAAGGCTAGGAAAAGTGTGTAGAATTAAGGTAATGACCTTATTATAACTTTTTCTTTATTTTTCTTCTACCATATGAGATATATATTATGTGAAGAATCCTTAAGAGGGTTCTACATGTTATAAGTATGGATTAATGGGTTGGAAAGTGATTCTATGTCCAAGAACGGACTTAGAAGCCAAAACGACCGGTTCACCGGAAAATAACCTTTTTGAGGTTATTTGTATTAATATGGGTTTTATGATTATAAAACCTTGTTAGGCACTTGTAAAGGGTATTTCAAGTGATTTCACAAAGTTGGAAAAGTCGCCGGAGTTGTCACCGGAGTTGACCAAAAGTCGCCGGAGTTTCACCGGAGTTCAACCAAGAAGGGTAGAACTTCTTAACGCTAGTTCAAGGTGAGTGGACGGCTTAATATCTTATAACTTTTGGGTTAATTATGAGATTACCTAAGTAAATGTTATATGATTTCATAATGATGTTTAAAAGATATTTAAACATGTGATTAGCCAATAGGGTTAAGTTTGTATGAAAGAAATTAATTGTTGATGCGTGGAATATGATATGAAGAACTATATGAAATGCATATTTGTTTGAAGTGTATTAGAAGCACAAATGAATATTATTAACTTAATTATATGATGATTAAGTTGATACACACAAGGCATGAAATGGCGGTCAACGAAAACGTGGACCGAAGAACAAAGAATTTAATTAATACCGGTTGGTATTAATTAATTATAAACCTATATAAATGCATGGCTTTGCATGGATTGTGATACATAAGAGTTATGTATTGGATTAGTTATGAGTAACTAAGGATGATATAGACTCTATCTAGGTTGATAGGAGGTTGATCATAGGAAAACTTGGTGGAGGACCCTAGTACTTAAAAGGTACTTAACACTCAAAATTTGGTGGAGGACCCTAGTACTTAAAAGGTACTTAACACTCAAAATTTGGTGGAGGACCCTAGTACTTAAAAAGTACTTAACACTCAAACTTGGTGGAGGACCCTAGGACTTAAAGTCCTTAACACTCAAACTTGGTGGAGGACCCTAGTACCTAAAAGTACTTAACACTCAAAACTTGGTGGAGGACCCTAGGACTTAAAAGTCCTTAACACTCAAACTTGGTGGAGGACCCTAGTACTTAAAAGTACTTAACACTCAAAACTTGGTGGAGGACCCTAGGACTTATGAGTCCTTAACACTCACAAATCGGTGGAGTATCCAAGGATTATGATCCTAAAACTCATAGATTGTGATATACAAGTAGGGACAAGGAGGAGTCCTATACACTCATAGGTATATGGGTGGGTTGGGGTTTTTAGTCAAGAATATTGACTATTACTATTTTTCCCAAATAAAATGGTGATCTACGGATCGTATGTTTTCCAAGTATACATATGCTAATAAGTATTTCATAACTTGGGGAAAGGATTATTTACTTAAGTATCACCCTATGTTTGGGTCTTATACTTGAAACGCTAGTTATTCTATATTTAGCCTGCTACTCGCTCGGTACTTGTACTGACCCCTTCGGGGGCCCCACCATTTTCAGGTTGAAGCTAGGGCTTGCTACTTGCACCTTCTCAAGGGTGGTATCAAATCAGGAAGACGTGGTTCGTGCTTCCTTATTTTCTTTCGAACTACCGAACACTTGCTCATGGATATTTGTTTTACTATAAACTATTTTTGGGGCTTGCATGCCCATGTTGTTGGCCGGTTGTGGCTCATGACGTACCGTTGAATATTTCTGCTATTCATTGGTTTAAATGTGATGTTGTTATGTATGTTTACTACTGAGTATGGATGGATTGTTTTCTCGAACGCCTTGTGTAATTAAGTGAGGTTGACTCGTGGGTGACATCACTTAGTTATACGGCGGTTGTACACGCGCTTGGATTGTGGTCTGGGGCGTGACAATTAAGTGGTATCAGAGCCATCTCAGTTCTAAACTACATAATCAACCTCTCACAAAAGATTTTTGCAAAAGAGTTTTTACCGAAAACCATGAGCATTGTATTTTGACGTTTATAGGACTATTGGTGCTTAAGTTGCAAGGCCTCTAATTGTTAAGACGGTACCCTTAACAATTGGTATGGTAGTGACTTGGGCCAATACGTGTCTGTAACGTTCTTCCGTCAGTTGACATTCATAGGAGTCTAATGACTCATCCATATTTCTTTCAGAAACGGAGGGCAGGCGAATGAGGACTAGGAACAATCCGAGGGGGCAGGCGTCGGTAGCATCCCAAAGGGGAAGCCGGGCTGCATCTCGGGGTTCGAGAGGAGGCCGTGGAGGCCGTGGAAGCCGTGGAGGTCATCAAGCTCAAACTGTGAGTGATGGCCATGTGAGCTCGGTGTATAAAACCAACACCGAAGACTATGACTCAACCTACGTTCCAGAGACGGAGCATGAAGAGACCCCGTATGATGGGGGTGACACATACACCGATGATGATGATGATGAAGAGAGTGATGCCAAGTTCGCCCAAATGGGCGAATTGCTCGAGTGGTATCAAAAAGAAAAATTGAGGAGAGACCTTAGGCGCCAAGCAAGGCGTGGCTCTCGCGGTGGTTCGGGTCAAGGAAGCCGGGGAGCTTCCGTGGCCACCCCAGCGGCGTCACAAGGTGGGCGTGAAGGAGGTTTTGTCGTGAGAATCTCCAAGTACCTCAAGGAGGCTAGGGCCTTGGGGTGTAGGTCCTTTGACGGCACCGGTGACATTACCGTTGCCGCAGATTGGATTAAGAAGGTGAAGGATGCATCAAGAGACATGCAAATCACACCGGACGTGAAGTTGACCGTCGCTTCACGGTTACTTGAAGGGATAGCCTCTACGTGGTGGGAGAGCGTGGAAGGGAAGTACCATGGGGAAATAACATGGGCGGACTTTGAGCTAGAGTTCTATGCTCAATACTACTCCGAGTACGAGGTGAATGTGAAACGGAGAGAGTACACTAACCTCAAACAGAAGGATGGCGGCACAGTTAAACAACTGGAACAAGAGTTTAGAACCTTGGCTAGGTTCTTGCCGGAGTACGCGGTTGATGAGAACCGCATGACGGAGCACTTTTGGGATGCCCTACTCTTGGACATTCGTGACCGAGCTACGTACTCGCGCCACATGACCTTCAGCGAGGCGGTGGAACAGGGCCTTCTCGGGGAGGCCCAATGGAATGAGAGGAAAGAGAGAGACGCCGAAGAGGCGAAAAAGAGGAAATGGCAAAGTTCGGGGCCGCCCGAGCAAGCACGGAAGGATAAACACGGCGGAGGTGGCGGTTCGTTCAAGACTCCGGCACCACCGGCAAAGAAGAACAAGGATGCTCGGTGGCATGCATCCTCCTCCCAAAGGACGGGGCCTCCAAGGTGTGCCAATTGTTCGAAAAATCACTTTGGGAAGTGCAATGCACCCCCGAGGTGTTATCAATGTGGGAACACGGGCCACATGAAGGCCAATTGCCCACAACTGGGGGGCGGAGGAGCTCCGGGATCCGGAGGAGGAACCACGACGGGAAGGAACCGTGCGGGGCCGTCAAACGGCGGCACGGGAAGAGGCGGCGCATCCACAAGCCATGCCGCGTCCGTAAATCAAGGCGGGACCCAAGCACGAGTGTACGCAATGACCGAGGCGGATGCGCGAGCAAACCCGGACTCCGTTGCAGGTGATACACTTATTTTCCTGTATTTCTAGGCTTATTTGGGACATATAAGTCATTGGGTTTGGGTGCGGGCCACCCCGGGGTCAAACCCCGCGAATTCGGGGCGAAACGAGCTAAAAACAACTACGCGCGATCGCGCGTACCTACAGACGCACGACCGTGCGTAAGAGGCAGTAGCCTCAGGTCTTATTTCGCACAGACGCACGACCGTGCGTACTGGTAGGCACGCCGTGCGTGGGACGCACGATCGTGCGTGACCAGCTACGCACGATCGTGCGTAGCCGGCAGTGGCTGGCTCCGGATTTCGCACGCACGCACGGCCGTGCGTACCCCCTACGCACGCCGTGCGTGGACCCCCAACACCGGGAAATTTATTTTTTTCGCCCCGTTTTTCCACGTTTGGACCCCCGTTTGATTCCAAACATTGGTATGAACCTAATAACCTCCTAAGGATGTGTAAAAACATTAGAAAATGTATCTTACATGGTGTATAAATGTAGGAACATTAAAGATCAATGGTAGGTGTGCGAGGATCCTCATCGATACCGGGGCACAACGCTCATTTGTGAGTGAGGCGTTTGCCGAGGGGCTCGACGTGCCATTGACGCCTATGACACAAACGTTGCTAGTCTCCACACCGTTAGGAGACGACGTGGAGAGATATCATTACTATCCGTCGTGTGAGGTAGAGGTGACGGGCCAACCTTTGACTTGTGACTTCGTACCTCTAAGCATGTTGGAGTTCGATGCAATCCTAGGAATGGATTGGCTCGAGAAACACCATGCTCGAGTAGATTGCTACACCAAGGTGTTGGAGCTCGAGGATGATCGAGGAAACACACTATGTTTCGAGGGAGATCGGGGGAAATCTAATGCTTGCATCATATCCGTGATGAGAGCACGGAAAATGATGAGGAAGGGATGCCACGCATACCTTGCCTACGTGGTGGACGATACCAAGAAGGAAGTCGACATAAAAGATGTACGGGTCGTGTGCAAATACCCGGATGTCTTTCCCAAAGACCTACCGGGGCTTCCACCCGATAGAGAGATAGAGTTTGTAATCGAAGTAGAGCCGGGAACCAAACCCATTTCGATTCCTCCTTATCGAATGGCACCGGCCGAACTTCAAGAGTTGAAGGTCCAACTACAAGAATTATTGGACAACGGTTTCATCAGACCCAGTCATTCACCATGGGGAGCACCCGTACTCTTCGTAAAGAAGAAAGATGGTACACTAAGAATGTGTATCGACTACCGACAGTTGAACAAGGTCACAATCAAGAACAGGTATCCTTTACCTAGGATTGATGACTTGTTTGATCAACTTCGAGGGGCTATTGTATTCTCGAAGATTGATTTAAGGTCGGGGTATCATCAGTTGAAGATCAAGGAGAGTGACATACCTAAGAGTGCATTTCGCACTAGATATGGTCATTACGAGTTTCTTGTGATGTCATTTGGTTTAACCAACGCACCGGCAGCATTCATGGACTTGATGAACCGTGTGTTTAGTGAATACTTAGATCAATTTGTGATAGTATTCATTGATGATATCTTGATATATTCCAAGAGCGAGGAGGAGCACGAACATCATTTGAGGCTTATACTTGATCGGCTAAGAGAAAAGCAACTCTTTGCCAAGTTCTCTAAATGCGAATTTTGGCTCAAGGAGATTGGTTTTCTCGGTCACGTCATATCCGGTTCGGGCGTTGCTGTGGATAACGCCAAGATAAAGGCTATCATGGATTGGGAAAGACCCAAGAATGTGAAAGAGATACGTAGTTTCCTTGGCCTAGCGGGATACTATCGTAAATTTGTTGAGAAATTCTCCGTATTGGCGTCCCCATTAACGAAGCTCACAAAGAAAGGGGCCAAGTTTGTATGGGACGACAAGTGTGAGAAAGGGTTCCTTGAACTGAAGAAACGACTTACCGAAGCACCAGTCCTAGCCCTACCCATACAGGGGATAGGGTATGATATCTACAGTGATGCTAGCATCCAAGGACTTGGATGTGTACTGATGCAAAACGGTAAAGTGATTGCCTATGCTTCAAGGCAATTGAGAAATCACGAGGTGAACTACCCTACCCATGATCTAGAATTAGGGGCGGTAGTGTTTGCACTGAAAATCTGGAGGCATTATCTCTACGGGGAGACATGTCACATTTTTACAGACCATAAGAGCTTGAAGTACGTATTCACTCAGAAAGAGTTGAATATGAGGCAGAGGAGATGGATGGAGTTGATCAAGGACTATGACTTGATCATCGACTATCATCCCGGAAAGGCCAATGTCGTGGCCGACGCACTGAGCAGGAAGAATACGACAGGGACGCTACTCACGTGTCTACAGGCATTGAGGGCACGCGTGGAGGTGTCCACGTGTGGGGCTCTCATTGCTCGATTTGAGGTTAGGCCCACCCTATTGGGCGAGATTAGTCGAAGTCAGGCCATGGATGAGGAATGTCAGAAGATCCGTGAAAGGATCCTTGCGGGGCCCGTTGAGAACTTCCGAGTACGCGATGACGGTCTATTATTGTTTAAGGATCGTGTATGCATACCAAAGAGTGAAGAACTCCAGAAGTCTATACTCGAGGAGGCTCATTCTTCAGCTTATGCTATGCATCCAGGAGGTACTAAGATGTACCGAGATTTGAAGGAAAGTTACTGGTGGTCAGGTATGAAGAGAGACATCGCCGAGTATGTGAGTCGATGTCTTACTTGTCAACAAGTTAAGGCAGAACATCAGCACCCGGCAGGGCTTTTGCAGCCACTCACCATCCCAGAGTGGAAGTGGGAGCACGTGACCATGGACTTCGTGGTGGGGCTGCCACGAACAGTGAATAACTATGACGCAGTATGGGTAGTGGTTGATAGGCTCACCAAGAGTGCACACTTTTTGCCTATCAACATTACTTATCCTCTTGAAAGATTGGCCAAGCTCTACACGGAGGAAATTGTGAGATTACATGGAGTCCCGATATCCATTGTCTCGGATAGGGATCCACGATTCACATCCCGATTTTGGCCAAAGTTTCAAGCATCGTTGGGTACTAAACTGAAGTTTAGCACAGCTTTTCACCCACAGACGGATGGACAGTCCGAACGGGTGATACAGATTTTGGAAGACATGCTTAGGGCATGTGCTCTGGAGTTCCAAGGAAGCTGGGACAAGCATTTGGCTCTGGTAGAGTTTGCTTATAACAACAGTTATCAAGCAAGTATCGGCATGCCTCCATACGAGGCGTTGTACGGGAGAAAATGCAGAACACCGTTGTGTTGGGACGAGGTTGGCGAGGCCAAACTCGAAGGGATAGAGCTGGTTGAGATCACCAAGGCTAAGGTAAGGATCATTCGGGATAGATTGAAGGCTGCTCAGGACCGACAGAAGAGTTATGCTGATAAACGGCGGAGACCGTTGGAGTTCGAAGTCGGTGATGAGGTCTTCCTAAGGATTTCTCCTTGGAAGGGCATCATTCGATTTGTATCGAGGGGAAAGCTTAACCCCCGATACATTGGTCCATTTGAAATCCTTGAAAGGATTGGAGCCGTGGCTTACCGCCTCAAGTTGACGCCTGAACTTGAGAAGATACATGACGTGTTTCATGTATCAATGCTCAAGAAGTACATACGAGACCCATCTCATATCCTTGAGAAACCGCCGGTAGAGATCCGTGAGGATTTGCAATATGCGGTAGAGCCGGTGAAGATAGTAGGTCAACAAGTGAAGAAACTTAGGAACAAGGAGATTCCTATGGTAAAGGTTCTTTGGAGGAGTGATCGAGTCGAAGAGGAAACTTGGGAGACCGAGGTCTCAATGAGGGAGCAATACCCATTCCTTTTCGATTAGACACGTGGATTTCGGGGACGAAATCCCAAATAAGGGGGGGTGAACTTGTAACACCGTCCCCGAATGTATTTACTTTTACGTAAATGATGTAATAAATTACCTTATGGAATGATTTATGAATTTACGAAGTTGTAAATTTTTATTTTTACTCTTTCGCGTGAATAGTAAATTGCACGTGGGACCCACACCGGGGGCGGGGGCCGCCCGACTTTCCCGAGACCATATATTTTATTCATCGTGGTCTATATAATAAATATATAGTGATGGATATTTCATTTGGGCCATGGAAAGGCCCGGAGTTGACCGTTTGGTCAAAAGAAGCCCAAATTACCGGTACTGGTAATTTAACTGATAACAGCCCGAACTGAATTTCGGGGGCTTATAAATTAAAGTTGGGGAATGTATATTCATTATACATGTCATAATGAGTAAGAGCACATAATATATTTTATTTGACCCGATAAAATAAAATATATTTAAAACAGTCCGAAAAATACAACTTTCGGGACCGATTGTACACATCGGGACACAAAGGGATGACCTCCCACATGAGTGGGGGCCAACCCACGTTTTTATGTGCTAAACACATCAATTGAGAGCTGGGTTGACAAGAGGAAATGAGGAGGAGATGCATTTGGCATCAAAAGTACAATGGGGAGGACCCATTCCCACATTATTTTGAGAGAAAAGCCAAAGAGGCTATCTCCTCACTCACCCACCCCATATTTTCGGCCAAACCATCAAAGGAGGAGGAAGAGGAAGCTCTCAAGCTACTCTCCATTGCTGCAACTCGAGCTCAACCAAAAGTAGTCCAAGGAGTGGGATTAAAGAAGGAAAAAGGCTAGGAAAAGTGTGTAGAATTAAGGTAATGACCTTATTATAACTTTTTCTTTATTTTTCTTCTACCATATGAGATATATATTATGTGAAGAATCCTTAAGAGGGTTCTACATGTTATAAGTATGGATTAATGGGTTGGAAAGTGATTCTATGTCCAAGAACGGACTTAGAAGCCAAAACGACCGGTTCACCGGAAAATAACCTTTTTGAGGTTATTTGTATTAATATGGGTTTTATGATTATAAAACCTTGTTAGGCACTTGTAAAGGGTATTTCAAGTGATTTCACAAAGTTGGAAAAGTCGCCGGAGTTGTCACCGGAGTTGACCAAAAGTCGCCGGAGTTTCACCGGAGTTCAACCAAGAAGGGTAGAACTTCTTAACGCTAGTTCAAGGTGAGTGGACGGCTTAATATCTTATAACTTTTGGGTTAATTATGAGATTACCTAAGTAAATGTTATATGATTTCATAATGATGTTTAAAAGATATTTAAACATGTGATTAGCCAATAGGGTTAAGTTTGTATGAAAGAAATTAATTGTTGATGCGTGGAATATGATATGAAGAACTATATGAAATGCATATTTGTTTGAAGTGTATTAGAAGCACAAATGAATATTATTAACTTAATTATATGATGATTAAGTTGATACACACAAGGCATGAAATGGCGGTCAACGAAAACGTGGACCGAAGAACAAAGAATTTAATTAATACCGGTTGGTATTAATTAATTATAAACCTATATAAATGCATGGCTTTGCATGGATTGTGATACATAAGAGTTATGTATTGGATTAGTTATGAGTGACTAAGGATGATATAGACTCTATCTAGGTTGATAGGAGGTTGATCATAGGAAAACTTGGTGGAGGACCCTAGTACTTAAAAGGTACTTAACACTCAAAATTTGGTGGAGGACCCTAGTACTTAAAAGGTACTTAACACTCAAAATTTGGTGGAGGACCCTAGTACTTAAAAAGTACTTAACACTCAAACTTGGTGGAGGACCCTAGGACTTAAAGTCCTTAACACTCAAACTTGGTGGAGGACCCTAGTACCTAAAAGTACTTAACACTCAAAACTTGGTGGAGGACCCTAGGACTTAAAAGTCCTTAACACTCAAACTTGGTGGAGGACCCTAGTACTTAAAAGTACTTAACACTCAAAACTAAAACTTGGTGGAGGACCCTAGGACTTATGAGTCCTTAACACTCACAAATCGGTGGAGTATCCAAGGATTATGATCCTAAAACTCATAGATTGTGATATACAAGTAGGGACAAGGAGGAGTCCTATACACTCATAGGTATATGGGTGGGTTGGGGTTTTTAGTCAAGAATATTGACTATTACTATTTTTCCCAAATAAAATGGTGATCTACGGATCGTATGTTTTCCAAGTATACATATGCTAATAAGTATTTCATAACTTGGGGAAAGGATTATTTACTTAAGTATCACCCTATGTTTGGGTCTTATACTTGAAACGCTAGTTATTCTATATTTAGCCTGCTACTCGCTCGGTACTTGTACTGACCCCTTCGGGGGCCCCACCATTTTCAGGTTGAAGCTAGGGCTTGCTACTTGCACCTTCTCAAGGGTGGTATCAAATCAGGAAGACGTGGTTCGTGCTTCCTTATTTTCTTTCGAACTACCGAACACTTGCTCATGGATATTTGTTTTACTATAAACTATTTTTGGGGCTTGCATGCCCATGTTGTTGGCCGGTTGTGGCTCATGACGTACCGTTGAATATTTCTGCTATTCATTGGTTTAAATGTGATGTTGTTATGTATGTTTACTACTGAGTATGGATGGATTGTTTTCTCGAATGCCTTGTGTAATTAAGTGAGGTTGACTCGTGGGTGACATCACTTAGTTATACGGCGGTTGTACACGCGCTTGGATTGTGGTCTGGGGCGTGACAATTAAGTGGTATCAGAGCCATCTCAGTTCTAAACTACATAATCAACCTCTCACAAAAGATTTTTGCAAAAGAGTTTTTACCGAAAACCATGAGCATTGTATTTTGACGTTTATAGGACTATTGGTGCTTAAGTTGCAAGGCCTCTAATTGTTAAGACGGTACCCTTAACAATTGGTATGGTAGTGACTTGGGCCAATACGTGTCTGTAACGTTCTTCCGTCAGTTGACATTCATAGGAGTCTAATGACTCATCCATATTTCTTTCAGAAACGGAGGGCAGGCGAATGAGGACTAGGAACAATCCGAGGGGGCAGGCGTCGGTAGCATCCCAAAGGGGAAGCCGGGCTGCATCTCGGGGTTCGAGAGGAGGCCGTGGAGGCCGTGGAAGCCGTGGAGGTCATCAAGCTCAAACTGTGAGTGATGGCCATGTGAGCTCGGTGTATAAAACCAACACCGAAGACTATGACTCAACCTACGTTCCAGAGACGGAGCATGAAGAGACCCCGTATGATGGGGGTGACACATACACCGATGATGATGATGATGAAGAGAGTGATGCCAAGTTCGCCCAAATGGGCGAATTGCTCGAGTGGTATCAAAAAGAAAAATTGAGGAGAGACCTTAGGCGCCAAGCAAGGCGTGGCTCTCGCGGTGGTTCGGGTCAAGGAAGCCGGGGAGCTTCCGTGGCCACCCCAGCGGCGTCACAAGGTGGGCGTGAAGGAGGTTTTGTCGTGAGAATCTCCAAGTACCTCAAGGAGGCTAGGGCCTTGGGGTGTAGGTCCTTTGACGGCACCGGTGACATTACCGTTGCCGCAGATTGGATTAAGAAGGTGAAGGATGCATCAAGAGACATGCAAATCACACCGGACGTGAAGTTGACCGTCGCTTCACGGTTACTTGAAGGGATAGCCTCTACGTGGTGGGAGAGCGTGGAAGGGAAGTACCATGGGGAAATAACATGGGCGGACTTTGAGCTAGAGTTCTATGCTCAATACTACTCCGAGTACGAGGTGAATGTGAAACGGAGAGAGTACACTAACCTCAAACAGAAGGATGGCGGCACAGTTAAACAACTGGAACAAGAGTTTAGAACCTTGGCTAGGTTCTTGCCGGAGTACGCGGTTGATGAGAACCGCATGACGGAGCACTTTTGGGATGCCCTACTCTTGGACATTCGTGACCGAGCTACGTACTCGCGCCACATGACCTTCAGCGAGGTGGTGGAACAGGGCCTTCTCGGGGAGGCCCAATGGAATGAGAGGAAAGAGAGAGACGCCGAAGAGGCGAAAAAGAGGAAATGGCAAAGTTCGGGGCCGCCCGAGCAAGCACGGAAGGATAAACACGGCGGAGGTGGCGGTTCGTTCAAGACTCCGGCACCACCGGCAAAGAAGAACAAGGATGCTCGGTGGCATGCATCCTCCTCCCAAAGGACGGGGCCTCCAAGGTGTGCCAATTGTTCGAAAAATCACTTTGGGAAGTGCAATGCACCCCCGAGGTGTTATCAATGTGGGAACACGGGCCACATGAAGGCCAATTGCCCACAACTGGGGGGCGGAGGAGCTCCGGGATCCGGAGGAGGAACCACGACGGGAAGGAACCGTGCGGGGCCGTCAAACGGCGGCACGGGAAGAGGCGGCGCATCCACAAGCCATGCCGCGTCCGTAAATCAAGGCGGGACCCAAGCACGAGTGTACGCAATGACCGAGGCGGATGCGCGAGCAAACCCGGACTCCGTTGCAGGTGATACACTTATTTTCCTGTATTTCTAGGCTTATTTGGGACATATAAGTCATTGGGTTTGGGTGCGGGCCACCCCGGGGTCAAACCCCGCGAATTCGGGGCGAAACGAGCTAAAAACAACTACGCGCGATCGCGCGTACCTACAGACGCACGACCGTGCGTAAGAGGCAGTAGCCTCAGGTCTTATTTCGCACAGACGCACGACCGTGCGTACTGGTAGGCACGCCGTGCGTGGGACGCACGATCGTGCGTGACCAGCTACGCACGATCGTGCGTAGCCGGCAGTGGCTGGCTCCGGATTTCGCACGCACGCACGGCCGTGCGTACCCCCTACGCACGCCGTGCGTGGACCCCCAACACCGGGAAATTTATTTTTTTCGCCCCGTTTTTCCACGTTTGGACCCCCGTTTGATTCCAAACATTGGTATGAACCTAATAACCTCCTAAGGATGTGTAAAAACATTAGAAAATGTATCTTACATGGTGTATAAATGTAGGAACATTAAAGATCAATGGTAGGTGTGCGAGGATCCTCATCGATACCGGGGCACAACGCTCATTTGTGAGTGAGGCGTTTGCCGAGGGGCTCGACGTGCCATTGACGCCTATGACACAAACGTTGCTAGTCTCCACACCGTTAGGAGACGACGTGGAGAGATATCATTACTATCCGTCGTGTGAGGTAGAGGTGACGGGCCAACCTTTGACTTGTGACTTCGTACCTCTAAGCATGTTGGAGTTCGATGCAATCCTAGGAATGGATTGGCTCGAGAAACACCATGCTCGAGTAGATTGCTACACCAAGGTGTTGGAGCTCGAGGATGATCGAGGAAACACACTATGTTTCGAGGGAGATCGGGGGAAATCTAATGCTTGCATCATATCCGTGATGAGAGCACGGAAAATGATGAGGAAGGGATGCCACGCATACCTTGCCTACGTGGTGGACGATACCAAGAAGGAAGTCGACATAAAAGATGTACGGGTCGTGTGCAAATACCCGGATGTCTTTCCCAAAGACCTACCGGGGCTTCCACCCGATAGAGAGATAGAGTTTGTAATCGAAGTAGAGCCGGGAACCAAACCCATTTCGATTCCTCCTTATCGAATGGCACCGGCCGAACTTCAAGAGTTGAAGGTCCAACTACAAGAATTATTGGACAACGGTTTCATCAGACCCAGTCATTCACCATGGGGAGCACCCGTACTCTTCGTAAAGAAGAAAGATGGTACACTAAGAATGTGTATCGACTACCGACAGTTGAACAAGGTCACAATCAAGAACAGGTATCCTTTACCTAGGATTGATGACTTGTTTGATCAACTTCGAGGGGCTATTGTATTCTCGAAGATTGATTTAAGGTCGGGGTATCATCAGTTGAAGATCAAGGAGAGTGACATACCTAAGAGTGCATTTCGCACTAGATATGGTCATTACGAGTTTCTTGTGATGTCATTTGGTTTAACCAACGCACCGGCAGCATTCATGGACTTGATGAACCGTGTGTTTAGTGAATACTTAGATCAATTTGTGATAGTATTCATTGATGATATCTTGATATATTCCAAGAGCGAGGAGGAGCACGAACATCATTTGAGGCTTATACTTGATCGGCTAAGAGAAAAGCAACTCTTTGCCAAGTTCTCTAAATGCGAATTTTGGCTCAAGGAGATTGGTTTTCTCGGTCACGTCATATCCGGTTCGGGCGTTGCTGTGGATAACGCCAAGATAAAGGCTATCATGGATTGGGAAAGACCCAAGAATGTGAAAGAGATACGTAGTTTCCTTGGCCTAGCGGGATACTATCGTAAATTTGTTGAGAAATTCTCCGTATTGGCGTCCCCATTAACGAAGCTCACAAAGAAAGGGGCCAAGTTTGTATGGGACGACAAGTGTGAGAAAGGGTTCCTTGAACTGAAGAAACGACTTACCGAAGCACCAGTCCTAGCCCTACCCATACAGGGGATAGGGTATGATATCTACAGTGATGCTAGCATCCAAGGACTTGGATGTGTACTGATGCAAAACGGTAAAGTGATTGCCTATGCTTCAAGGCAATTGAGAAATCACGAGGTGAACTACCCTACCCATGATCTAGAATTAGGGGCGGTAGTGTTTGCACTGAAAATCTGGAGGCATTATCTCTACGGGGAGACATGTCACATTTTTACAGACCATAAGAGCTTGAAGTACGTATTCACTCAGAAAGAGTTGAATATGAGGCAGAGGAGATGGATGGAGTTGATCAAGGACTATGACTTGATCATCGACTATCATCCCGGAAAGGCCAATGTCGTGGCCGACGCACTGAGCAGGAAGAATACGACAGGGACGCTACTCACGTGTCTACAGGCATTGAGGGCACGCGTGGAGGTGTCCACGTGTGGGGCTCTCATTGCTCGATTTGAGGTTAGGCCCACCCTATTGGGCGAGATTAGTCGAAGTCAGGCCATGGATGAGGAATGTCAGAAGATCCGTGAAAGGATCCTTGCGGGGCCCGTTGAGAACTTCCGAGTACGCGATGACGGTCTATTATTGTTTAAGGATCGTGTATGCATACCAAAGAGTGAAGAACTCCAGAAGTCTATACTCGAGGAGGCTCATTCTTCAGCTTATGCTATGCATCCAGGAGGTACTAAGATGTACCGAGATTTGAAGGAAAGTTACTGGTGGTCAGGTATGAAGAGAGACATCGCCGAGTATGTGAGTCGATGTCTTACTTGTCAACAAGTTAAGGCAGAACATCAGCACCCGGCAGGGCTTTTGCAGCCACTCACCATCCCAGAGTGGAAGTGGGAGCACGTGACCATGGACTTCGTGGTGGGGCTGCCACGAACAGTGAATAACTATGACGCAGTATGGGTAGTGGTTGATAGGCTCACCAAGAGTGCACACTTTTTGCCTATCAACATTACTTATCCTCTTGAAAGATTGGCCAAGCTCTACACGGAGGAAATTGTGAGATTACATGGAGTCCCGATATCCATTGTCTCGGATAGGGATCCACGATTCACATCCCGATTTTGGCCAAAGTTTCAAGCATCGTTGGGTACTAAACTGAAGTTTAGCACAGCTTTTCACCCACAGACGGATGGACAGTCCGAACGGGTGATACAGATTTTGGAAGACATGCTTAGGGCATGTGCTCTGGAGTTCCAAGGAAGCTGGGACAAGCATTTGGCTCTGGTAGAGTTTGCTTATAACAACAGTTATCAAGCAAGTATCGGCATGCCTCCATACGAGGCGTTGTACGGGAGAAAATGCAGAACACCGTTGTGTTGGGACGAGGTTGGCGAGGCCAAACTCGAAGGGATAGAGCTGGTTGAGATCACCAAGGCTAAGGTAAGGATCATTCGGGATAGATTGAAGGCTGCTCAGGACCGACAGAAGAGTTATGCTGATAAACGGCGGAGACCGTTGGAGTTCGAAGTCGGTGATGAGGTCTTCCTAAGGATTTCTCCTTGGAAGGGCATCATTCGATTTGTATCGAGGGGAAAGCTTAACCCCCGATACATTGGTCCATTTGAAATCCTTGAAAGGATTGGAGCCGTGGCTTACCGCCTCAAGTTGACGCCTGAACTTGAGAAGATACATGACGTGTTTCATGTATCAATGCTCAAGAAGTACATACGAGACCCATCTCATATCCTTGAGAAACCGCCGGTAGAGATCCGTGAGGATTTGCAATATGCGGTAGAGCCGGTGAAGATAGTAGGTCAACAAGTGAAGAAACTTAGGAACAAGGAGATTCCTATGGTAAAGGTTCTTTGGAGGAGTGATCGAGTCGAAGAGGAAACTTGGGAGACCGAGGTCTCAATGAGGGAGCAATACCCATTCCTTTTCGATTAGACACGTGGATTTCGGGGACGAAATCCCAAATAAGGGGGGGTGAACTTGTAACACCGTCCCCGAATGTATTTACTTTTACGTAAATGATGTAATAAATTACCTTATGGAATGATTTATGAATTTACGAAGTTGTAAATTTTTATTTTTACTCTTTCGCGTGAATAGTAAATTGCACGTGGGACCCACACCGGGGGCGGGGGCCGCCCGACTTTCCCGAGACCATATATTTTATTCATCGTGGTCTATATAATAAATATATAGTGATGGATATTTCATTTGGGCCATGGAAAGGCCCGGAGTTGACCGTTTGGTCAAAAGAAGCCCAAATTACCGGTACTGGTAATTTAACTGATAACAGCCCGAACTGAATTTCGGGGGCTTATAAATTAAAGTTGGGGAATGTATATTCATTATACATGTCATAATGAGTAAGAGCACATAATATATTTTATTTGACCCGATAAAATAAAATATATTTAAAACAGTCCGAAAAATACAACTTTCGGGACCGATTGTACACATCGGGACACAAAGGGATGACCTCCCACATGAGTGGGGGCCAACCCACGTTTTTATGTGCTAAACACATCAATTGAGAGCTGGGTTGACAAGAGGAAATGAGGAGGAGATGCATTTGGCATCAAAAGTACAATGGGGAGGACCCATTCCCACATTATTTTGAGAGAAAAGCCAAAGAGGCTATCTCCTCACTCACCCACCCCATATTTTCGGCCAAACCATCAAAGGAGGAGGAAGAGGAAGCTCTCAAGCTACTCTCCATTGCTGCAACTCGAGCTCAACCAAAAGTAGTCCAAGGAGTGGGATTAAAGAAGGAAAAAGGCTAGGAAAAGTGTGTAGAATTAAGGTAATGACCTTATTATAACTTTTTCTTTATTTTTCTTCTACCATATGAGATATATATTATGTGAAGAATCCTTAAGAGGGTTCTACATGTTATAAGTATGGATTAATGGGTTGGAAAGTGATTCTATGTCCAAGAACGGACTTAGAAGCCAAAACGACCGGTTCACCGGAAAATAACCTTTTTGAGGTTATTTGTATTAATATGGGTTTTATGATTATAAAACCTTGTTAGGCACTTGTAAAGGGTATTTCAAGTGATTTCACAAAGTTGGAAAAGTCGCCGGAGTTGTCACCGGAGTTGACCAAAAGTCGCCGGAGTTTCACCGGAGTTCAACCAAGAAGGGTAGAACTTCTTAACGCTAGTTCAAGGTGAGTGGACGGCTTAATATCTTATAACTTTTGGGTTAATTATGAGATTACCTAAGTAAATGTTATATGATTTCATAATGATGTTTAAAAGATATTTAAACATGTGATTAGCCAATAGGGTTAAGTTTGTATGAAAG